CCCTGGTTCTGACCCTTGCACGCAGGAAGGTCTAAGAGATGTATAAGGTTTTTTTTTTTTTTTGCCAGCAGAAGATAAACATGTGGATAGGCTCTGAGTGTTTCTACTCACCAAAGTCCTTTAAGGTGGCTCTTTATGCTCAAGGGGGCACCTGGACCCTGGGTACGTCAGCTGCAGCTCAAAATCTGCCTTCCATTCTCCCACCCCTCATCCGACTCAAACACCGGCTGTACTGTGCTTGCCAGATGCAAACACTTGACACTCCTATGCATCCTGCTGCAGGCTCTGGGCACAGGGCCCTGGCAGTAAGTCTACCATCTGGTCTCAGCTTGCCGCAGCCCTGCACTGACCACTGTCTGCAGAGTGGTCCCTTGACGTTGCTTCTTCCATACAGTGGCACCTTCATTGTGCAAAGCAGGTGTTCAGTAAATAGGATGGATATGTCTCTCCTCTGTCCCCTCTGTCCTGATTGTAGGACTATTGTTTCCAGAGGGTTGCCTGTTCTCTCTAACTTCCAGGGTCTGCTTCTGTTAGCTTCTTTCCAGTACTTCTCCAAGGGACAAGCCTGGAAACCAATGGCCTGCAAAAAAAAAAAAAAAAAAAAAAAAAAAAAGCCATTCCCAGGATGTTGCCTGAATCCCATGTAGGATGCAATCAGGCTTCTGGGAAGGAGGGGGAGGGACCCTGAGGATGCCCAGTGCAGCCCAGCTTCGTCACCTGGACATGCAGAGCCATTCAAAATGCCTTGGACTGAAAACTGTAAAGAGGCATCTATATTTTGGGCCTTGGTTACACATTGTCACACACTGCTAAAAAGCCTGGGTGTTCTAACAGTATAACAGATCCTGGCCATTTAACGTTGATTTCTTCATTCCGGTTTCGACTGCTTCTCTCTGGATCGTCACTGGCCTGGTTCACCTGCTTTCACTTTCTGCCTTTGAAGAAGTCCAGATGGCCATATCAGCCAGGTGGAAGTGCCCAGCTGTTGGCCTCTGTCTCACAGGTGTCTCCTGGCTTGGCTCTTAGGAGGCGACAGAGGGAGGTTGGGTTCAAAGGTTAAGCTCTCCTTTGAGGAACGGGATGTTATCACCCAAGGTTCTCTCTGGCGCACCCCAGAGTTGTGGGATCACTCAGCAGTGTGCCCTACCCCCTGAAAGCCAGTGTGGCTATCAGTACCCTTGCTGGCCTTATGGGATCTGACTCATTTCCTGATAGAACAGTGTTGAGATCCATCTATTTCCGAGCATTGAGCATTTAAGAGGCATCACACCAGAGCTCAGAAAAGTCTGTTATGTTAGTTAGAATCACACTGTTTTACTGCTAACGGTAGGGAAGGGCTTCTCTCTAAGGCAGAACAGAGCTGTTCTTATGGGGTAGCCATTTTTCCCCTTCAGCCCCGTATGTTTGGTGCTGAGTGGGCCTCAGAGTAAGGCTACACAGGCTCCAGCTCTATGAGTTCAAGGCCAGGGCCCAGCCTGATGTATACTTTGGGTCTCAGGACAGCTGAGCCCTGGCCTTAAACTCACAGAGATCCTCCTGCCTCTGCCTACAAGTGCTAGGATTAAAGGTTTTCATCACCATGCCTGCCCTAAACCCATTTTCTTAAATGATACAATTCATTAAAGTGGGATGGGTACTTTCACTAACATTGTAATTTAATTAAATCATTTGCTAATTATTATATGTTTAATTTTGGCTTTCTTTTTTTTCTAAGATATTTTTTAATTCAAACATGCTAGAACTTATAAAAGGTTTCTGAAGAGCCCGTGGTGGAAGCCTCAGCTGACTGCCATGTGCCCTTTGAGAAGGAGCTCATCTGCCAGCCTATGCACCCAAGGCGCCTTCCAGTCTCCTTATCTCCGCCACACTGCCCAGAGGGCTCCTGCTGTTTCCTTCCCAGGAGCATGTATGTCTGTCTGAAAGAAAATTACTCTAAAATATGCAAGCTGATGCTCTCAGAAAAAAGCCACACCTATGTTAAACATTCTACAAGGCTGATTGACTGATTAGAACTTCAGTGACCGTGGAGAGATGGAATGTTATGGGGTGGGAGACAAATATTCTTGAGTTATCTTAGGTCCTCCAAATAGCCATTTATTGCCCAGTTCTGTATGTGGCCTAAAATCTTCCTGACCATTAGGTAAATCCTTTTGGAATGTACAAACAGACCCCTTACATTTCATCAACCCCAAAGCTAAGAATGGCATCCGATGACGTCTGAGACTATAGCAGAGATGTCCTTGCCCTGTTCTAACCCAGCTATGGGAGTCCCCACCAAAATATGTAAAAAGTGCCTGATTTATGACTTTCTTTGTTCTGCTGACATGAAAATTCCATAAAACTGTTAGCGAGTTAGAGCACGGTATTTGGAAAACCTGAATCTGTGTTCCAGGGCAATGTTCACTCGTGTCTGGCTAGAGAATGAACGGTCTCATTCCCTTTGTCTCATTTCCACTGTTATCAACCTGCCCCTCATCCTGAGTCCTACAGCACCACGTCTCCCTTTTTAAAGGAAACAAATTCTTCTGGTGGAGAAGCTGTCCTTACTTTCCCCAAGCTGTGTGGCCCTTCCTGTTACAAGATATGGTTCGAAAGGCCCAGAGGATCCTGGTGGACTCTCCTATGTTGTGTTCACTGTTGCCAACCCAGCCCTCAGGGAACATGAAAGCAGAAGGCATGGGATGAGTTTCTGACCGCTGGAAAACCAAAATGTATGTCTGACTTCCGGTCAGACAGGCAGAAGCTGGGCTTGAGATAAGTGTAGTCTTTGTGTAGCCAGTAGCTTCAGGGAAGTCAGGGGGCTTCTCCAGCTACCTGAGCACTTCCTTGTAAGTCACAGCTGTGCCCAGAGCCCCGAGGTTGCCTTTATCAAGTACCCCTCAGCTTCTACCACACACCAGGCCCTGGTCCCCAGGATCCCCAGGCCTGTCTTCAGTGGGAATCTTGCTGGTCATTTTCCACATAGGGTCCCTCACAGGGACATCAGAAGTGAGGTCCCTGGCTAGCACTACTTAGGAGCCTCATTTTTGTCCCTGCTGCTCTGCTTTCTGAATTTTAATGCTGTGCTTTAACAAGTCTCAGTGGAGATTTTCCCAATGAGACAGAACACAAGAGAAAGGGATGCTTGGGGACACACACACACACACACACACACACACACACACACACATACACACACACCGAGGGTGAGAGTAGAGAAAGCCATGAAAGAGCACAGATTTTGTGTGTAGTCGCATTGCTTTTGTGGTTAGCGGACATGGTTAGACAGGCCCACATCTCCCTGGCTGCCATGCAGAATTTTTGGTGGCATGTTGGCACCTGAGTGGTTTGGAAATCAAGGCAGCTATGCTGTGGAAGAGGAATACCAGTAACCAATACTGAGTAGCCCCAATCCATCCCAGTCCCTTCTATGTTGAGCCCGTGTCAGCAAATAGTGACACAGCCTGAGCTGCAGGGACAGCACAGGTCCCCAAGATCGATAAGAAAAGTGCATGTGTTTCATGGGGTACACATGAGCTCCACCTCGCCACACACTTGCACAGCTCCAGACAGAGACGACGCTCAGCAAGAGTGTGGACGTGGCATGGGGCCTTTGCCCTCTCTACAGGATGGATGCAGCATTGGGTCTGGGTAGGCGCACAGACAGCTTTGTCAGAACTTAGACAAATCTCAGTAGCCTCATAGGTGATGGTTCTGCCAAACCACTGCTTCCTGTCACCTCAGGAACAATGAGGGGAAGAATTAGGGCACTTTAGTGACATATCCCCTGCTATGTACTATGTGGAAGTCTGGAGCCATCTTTACTTTTTCAGGGGTTCCCAGCTAAGAGATTGCCTCAGCTCTCTGGACTCAAGACTTTTGAATGATTGTTGAACCCATAAGGCTGTGAGGACTCCTGAGGGTGGACTGAATATACTTTCTGAGGCCACAAGCCTTTGAGGGCCCCAGGTCGATCACCATCATTTGAATCTGGAGTGTCCCTCACAGGCTCCTGTTTTAAACACTTGATCCCCTGCTGGTGGTTGTTGGGAAGACTGAAGCACTTTGGAGTTGGGGCCTGGCTGGGACAGTTGAGTCACTGGAGGCTGGTCCTTGGGACTATGTTTTCTCTGGTCACATCCTGTTTTGATTCCTGCTTCCTGGCCCACCATGATGTGAACCAAACTGCCTTGTCATGCCATCTGTGTGACGGACTGAGCCCTCTGAGGCTGGGATCCAAAACACATCTCTCCTTCCTTCAGTCTGCCAGTCATTTTGTCACAAATGACAAAAAAAAAAAAAAAAAAAAAAAAAAAAAAAAACCACTTTATTTTTTTTGTTTTTTTTTTTTTTTTGTTTTTTTTTTTTTTTAATAAAAAAACCCTGCTCATGACTGACTTTTAAACAGTTGCTGTGGCCTGAGCAATTCTAAGAGGCACAGGCAGGCAGTCAAGACAGTTACTGGAATGTTTACTTTTCAGACATTGCTCCCTTGGCCCCTCTGAAATGTCTGCACTCTGGAGCGGTTTGCACAGAAAGCCCCAAAACTCCCAAAGCATTCATTCTCATTCCTTCCCCGCTCCTCTCTCAGGGGAGGCTGAGTTCTTTGTTCTAAACCTTAATCAATTTTCAGGTTTTTTTCACCCTGCATACAGCTTCTCACTGCAGGAATATTTAGCCACTGTGACGCCTCCTGTAGCAATATTTTCCACCCATCTTCCTGTCTCTTGATTTTCAAGGCTCCTGCCAAGGGTACAGAGCAAGGGCACCCCATGAAATGCACTCCCTTCTCCCCTCTAGGACAACATGTGATGGACCCAGAAGGCTGCCTTGTGACTGAGCAACTGGTTTGAAAACTCAAATCATTAAGAATGGTTGGAAAGTAAACAGACATTTTCTTCTCAAAAGACATGCGAAAATGTTCAGTTTGTTTTTTTGTTTACCCTCAAAATGCTTTTCCTCCCTCAGGTGAGCACATGGCCCATGTTAGAAAGGAAGGCAGACAGGACAGTGGCTGCAGAAGAAGGAAATGGGGTTTATTTGGAACCATACCAACATCGTGTAGGTTTATTAATGACTGTAATACAGAGCTGAATTCAAAATTGGTTCCCCCAACAAGATGCAATGTATGTAAGATGTCTCTGGGGAGGGACCTCTCCCCACAAACCAGCAAGAGTATGGAGAACAAAGCTGTGGCTACAATCATGCAATGAAAATGGCTGCGGGGAAGATCAGCCCAGAGAACTCACAACCACAGCGAGGGTGACTACTGAGAAACCTAAGCAAGCTGGCATCGCATCTGCTCATCGCATGGCACGGAAGAGTCTTACACCTTCTGGGGTCCTAGGCTTGTCCTGAAAGCCTGGCGTCACACCATGGTCATGACCTTCAGGGCTGCTGGCTGGAACCTACGGATCTTCTTCTTCAGGGCCTTGGAGGCCTTGATGCGGCACAGTTTGGGCACAGGGGGCAGGTGTGGCCTGGAGCCTCCTGGGGCCCGTGGGGACTGCTGGAGGGAAGCACGGGGCCAGGGCCGCTCCCCTTGCCCGGCGTCTGAACTGCCTATCACCAGGCCACGGCGGCTGCCCTGGACACAGCCTTCTGAATCGTTGCTGCTGGACTCGTCCCCGAAGCGGTTGGCAGTGTGGTCACTGGCCTCCTCGTCCTCGCTGGTCTCGGCAATGGTGGAGTGGAATAGTGAGGCGCACTCTGCGGAGTGCTCCGAGGGGTCTGACTCACTCCTCAGACAGGCATCCTGACGGGCAAGCGTGGGCCTGCTCTGGGCCCGGGGACCACCTGCTCTCCTGGCTGGGGACCGAGGGTGGCCCAAGCTGGGCCCAGGTCGGCTGACCGGACGGGCTTTGGCTGAGATCTCCATCGTGGACTGCCACTTGCGCTGCTTCCTCCTGGCTGCTGAGCTAAGGGGGGCTGCCTCCATTGGGAACAGCGCTTGGGATGACGCTGGGTAACTTTCCTGCTGGGCCACCAGTAGGGGGACAAAGAAGGGCACCGGGTAGAGGGTGGACTCAGAGCAAGAGCGTCCGGGAGGCTCTCTGGCTAGTGTGGGCCTACTGCTGAGCCCTCCCTGCTGGAGCTTGGACGAGGGCTCCCACTCTGGGGGGAGCGCAGCATGAATTCCCCGCGGTCTCTCGGGTTGCGATGGGAGCTGCTTCCCCAGCCGAGGCACTTTCTCACTAACTCTTCTTCGGACCTTCGTGGCCTTGCTCTGGGGAGAGCCTACCCTCATTGGGGATGTTTCAGCAAGGGTGCAGGGTAGGTAGGCAAAGGACCCCGGGGCCAGAGGCGGGCTGTCAGGGCCCAGCACCCTGGATGGTGATTGGACTCGTCCATGGCCGTAGTCAAGAGGGGACTGCTGAGCCTGGGAGCAGGGAGAGGAGCCTACAGCATCGTCTCCACGCACACAGGGATTCCAAGGTGCGGTTTCCTCCTTTAGGGGGCTCCCAAGGGGCTCCGTATCCACAAGGGACACAGGCCCCTGTTGCCTGAAGCTGTCCTTGGCGGCACCCCGACTTGGTTTCATTCCTCCCCTGTCTATCTCACAGGTCTGTTTCTCAAGCTGACCTCCGCTGCCTGGCCGCTGGCCACCCGGCCTCTGTGGGAAAGGAGCTGCGTCGCTTCCCTGCTCCTCCTGAGCCCCATCTCTCAGGGGGCGTGTCTGGCCGCGCAGGCGCAAAAGCCTGTGGATGTAGGCTTCAGCCGAGCCCAGCTCCCGGATCGGCCCAGTCTGAGTCCTGCTCTGATCAACAGGGACAGGAGGGGGCTCCTGGGGAGGTGAGTGAATGTCGAGACGTGGAGCTTCCTTAGGCAGAGCAAAGAGAGGGCTCTGCAGCGCCACCGCATGCAGGGGGCTCGGATATGAATACACCTCCTGGCCACCCCTGGCCACCAGATCACGCTGGTACTTGGGGTCCACTGTGTGGGCCGGGACCTCTATCCCTTGGCAGAAGAGGGATGAGGATGCAGGATCAGTACCAGCTCTCTGAAGCCCCAGGTCAGCTGGAAGGACTCGCTCAAGATCGCCTGGAAACGAGACCACGAAAACCACATCAACACAGACACATGCCAAGTCCCTCCTTCCCATAGATGCATGTAGAGACACTCAGCTCTTGTGCGTGGGGGTCAGGGAGAGTGAGCGGGAGACGTCAGTGAGGGTCCTCACTTAACCGGGGCTTGGAGGCTTCCTGGGAACAAAGGTCTATAGCCCTACGTGGGACAGCTGCAGCAGAAACGGCTCCAGCATCTACACAGAGAGATCGAGGCTGACACGGAGCCCAGGTGTCAGGGGAATGGAAGGGTCCAAGTGACATCTTTTTCTCTTGGGAAAACATGAAGGGTGCTTGTGACTCTATTCTCACACCATTGATTTCAGTGTTTCTTCCTAGCTTCCAGATGTTCATTTAAAATTAGACACATGCCTGCTCCACATGGGGTCAGCCTCTTCCCCAGTGGGCCCGGGGAACTATCATCTGTTGTCCCTCCCACCTGGGTGACACTCTCACCTGTAGACACTGGTCTGGGCCGGAACATGCCCCTTGGCCGGCCTGCGTCCACTTCACCATGCAAAAGCCTGCTATCTTCTCCACTGGACTGTGGGCTCCACACAGGGACGGTGGTCTCATCCGCAGAGCGGGGTCTCCAGTCCCCCATAGCAGACCTGGGCTTAGAGGGCTGGAACACAGGCAGCCAGCTGCCCAGGGACGGGGAGAGGCGGTCACTGCAGACAGATGCACAGGAGGTAGACAGGGAGCAGGAACCAGCGTCACTCAGCTCATAGAAACCTGGACAGGGCAGACGGAGGTCAGTGCACCCCTAGCCAGCGGCTCTGTCCCAAAGACCCAGAGCCTTTCCTCATGCTTTTACGGCACAAGGAGGGTGAGCGGCAGACAACAATGCCTTGGGAAGGGGCCCTGGAAAAGAATGTTCCAGATTCTTGCTGGGAGCCTTGTGAGAGGCTATAGGAACATTGACCCTACCTCACCTGAACCCTTATCTATCCTTTGCTTTAGGCACTCTCTCCTTTCTTTAACATGCAACTGCACGGGGCATTTCCTTCTTGGGAGTCCTCAGCCCCGGGGACTGCTGGGTCCCTGGTACCTCCTAGGCTAGACTGCAAAAGCCAGGTACAAAGAGTGCCAAGGGGACCCCAGACAACCCCAGGCTTTGTTGTCATGCCTGCCTCATGACCACTGTGACCCAGAGACAGGGGTCTCCATTTCCAACTTTTACCTGGAGGATATTAAAAGAACAAAAGTGACCATAGCCACACAAGCCACCTAAGATGGGGAGCAGACAATTCTGTGATTAGTTCACAGGTTATGCTGATTTAAGTGAAGTAGGTGGTCCGTAAAATAGCCTTTGGCATGGTCCATGGCGGTCCAGCATGGGATGTTTAATACAATCAAAAAGAAGATTTTTTTCCAACTTTCATATTATATAAAATATATATACATAGATATACATAAACTGGTAGTTTACATATATATTATATATATGTAATACATATATATAAAAACTATTATATATAAACTCTTTAGCTTATATATTTGTATATACTATTTAAATACTTGCTATATTTATATTTCTTTCTTTCAGCATTTTCAGTTAAAGCTTTTTCAGGTCCTCAGTCACCTATACTTCCCAGGGCCCAAGGGACTCCCCCCAACTCTCAGATCAGCTGAGGACACAGGCTGAGGATATCACTCTCCAGTGTGTCATGACAGACCGGGCCCATGACGGGTGCCAATGAATACTGTACTGCCTTCCGAGAGGGCAGGATCCTGGCAGCCTGGTGCCCAGCTGTCTGGGCGTAGTGGGCCATACCTGAGCTGGGCCTGCTGTCACTGTCCAGGGCCTCGCAGGACGACCTGCTCACATCCAGCTGCAGTTCGCTTATCTGCTGGTCCAGCTGGTCCAAGTGGGTCTTCAGGCCAGCATCCTGCCGCCTTAGCCTCGACTAGGAGGTTAAGAAGGGGGAAGGATAAAAACCAGTGTGACTACAGAAATGCAAACTGAGTGAGAGAGAGCCATCAGGAATATCAGTTAGAATCCTGAAGTCCAAGCGCATCTAACTGGCACCTGCCACCGGCTCACGGGAAGCAACTCTGTGAGTCTGCTGGAATGGACCACAAAGGATTTGCCACCCCTCGGTGTGTGCGTGCATGTGTGTGTGGGAGCGTGGGAGCACACCCATGCACACACACACACTGTACAGTCCACAGGAAGTGAGAGGAGTTCTGTGTTCACATACATAAAACGAATCAGTACTGTTTGTTAAAAACTTATTTATTTCTCTCAGCCGTGCAGTGTCCCGATTTCCAGCTCGGTTGCATACATTCTTCTTTTCTTTAAGTAACAAGTGAGTTTAAGGTAAACCAATGGTAAACCGTGGAGCTGTGGCTCTCCTGTTGAGAAGGTGGCCGTTACCTCAGAAATATCACCAGCAGCAATGACCTCCCTGCTCACCAGAACAAGCCCTTTCACAAACTGAGTAGAATGCTGGCCGGGGCTGGCACGGCTGTCGGGCTCAGCTGGCTCAGCCTTCCCCCAGGAGCTGACTCAGAGTGGAATCCACCTCCACACACACTCGCCCCCACACGAAAGAAGATATTCTAAAGACACAGTGGGCACCAAGAAACTGGAATTTCCCCAGAATCTCGTCCTGGGAGAAAGAAAATGCTGGAGGCCAGGGGCCAGCCGGAGCCAAACTAAGGTGAGTTCTGTCAACTCACCTACCGTCTTCTGGGCACTTGAGGGAGTGACACCCGGCTTGGGATTGCTCACCCCTCGCTTCTCTTTAAATCTACATGGGCACTCAGGCCAGTGCCCTAACGAGGAACTTGGGGTCCACTGGACCTTATGTGTCCCTCTTCTCAGTGTGGACACATTGAATAAAGGCCCTTTCTCAGCTTTTCATTGTGGCTTGTCTGTGTGAATGGTCTGTTGAGGGTGGGCGCACTGGCTGGTCCCAGGCTCTAACCCCAACTCGACTAACTCATGATCTGAAGGGGTAAGAGTGTCTCCTAGGACCACCGACGGCAAAGCTGAACAAACCTTTCCAGAACCACCACTTGGTCCAAATCCTGCTTCTGACACAAACTCTTTCCTGGAACAACGAGGGTAGAGACTGAAGGCATACCCTTTCCACCCACTCAGAAACTGATGCTGAGACTCATCAAGGGGCTGGCATGGATTATTTTTTTTCTGTGACACACTTTTCTTTGCCCTACCTTAAAGTCACAGGGTCCCGCAGTCACGAAGCACCTCTGCTTAGCAGCACCCGCTCTAGCGACCGACAGTAAATATCTACCTGCTTCTCTCAGTCCCAGCTTCCCTTCTTTAAAGGCCTAGCTGGTTGCTCGCACAGAGGTTGGCCCCTGTGTGCACATGGACCTGCTGCTCTGTGGGTAACACCTCCTCAGCCAGCCTCAGCACCCAGTTTCTAGTTAATGGTGGAGGTTTTAAGACCCCAGGGTCCTTAGGGGCCTCAGCGGTGAGGCCGCCATCCGGAGTGATACCACTCTCATTAACACTCCCTCTGCTCCTAGTTCAGGTTTTCATCACAGTTCCTTAGGATGAACTTCAGGGTCAAAGTCACGGTGACTAGGACTGAGCTACAAAGCCAGGCTGTGGAACTCTTCCCACAACCAAGCCTGTCTGTGGTCTACAAGCCTCACACTGATTTCACTCAGGCTCTGGAGCACTTAGGTGAATCCCCCAGAGCTGGGTCAGGGGTCAGAGGCCTGGTGCAAGGGAGAACTAAACACAGGCCCAGTGGTGACATCACCCAGTACACCCGTGGATCCTGAGCTCTTGCTATGTGGTGCCCAGGGCAGGCCTAGGGCCCTGGACCTTCACCAGCTTTGCCCGAAGGGATCGGTCTAGTGACCACCAAATGTCTGAGACCTGCCATTGTATGGTGCCACTAAGAGGGAGCTGGTGGATTTCTTTCAAGGGCTTGATCTGAATTTGTTCTACCTCCCCCATGGATACTTCCACTTTTCAACCCCAGCAGAAACAAGCAAGCAAACGAACAACACCCCCCACCCCAAACTTTATGGTGTGTTTGGAGGATAAAAGGTTCAGGATGTAGAGATGGTATCTATGAGACTTCCTTCCTCTCCTTGAAAGCCAACATCAACAAAGGAACTGTTTTATGCATGAATTACCCCTTGATGGCCTCCTGCAAACTTCACATCACATCAATCATCATGGATGTGATTGACAGTGACGCTGGAGAAGCCTGGCAGGTCCTTGCTCTTGACCTCATCTGCTTCTTATCTGACCTCCATCTGCCCCTTATGTGTCCACCATGCAAGCGGTCTGGCCCAAGGAAAACACGGTTCATGGTTACGGAATCTGAGCCTGCCCCATTCAGAAAGGGACGGCTGCATGTTGTCACTTTCAGAACGAGTCATGACCAGTCAGCCCTGCAGGATGAGCCTCATATCTGTGCATCAGCCTCCCGTCCCAGGGCACCTCTTCTTCTGGATGCAGCTGAGGCAAGATAGGCTGTTACAGCTTCCTGGCACCATGCCAGTTGGCGGGTGCTGGCCTACTTACGCCCACTTACGGGACTGAAATGCTAGCCGCTTTCTGAGACAAGTCCCCGTGAAAACACTCACAGGGAGCCTACTGCCCAAAGGGCCACCTGCAGCAAACGGTGGGGTCAGGGGTCAGAGGGCATGGCATTTCATTAGTGGAGAAATCTGGAATGAGGTGGACTGAGTGCCTAAATCACCTCTCTTTTTGGTCTCGGCCATTAACAGTCCCTGATTTATCTGGTGAACGAAATTCCTCTTAAGCAGCTACTGCTGAGTTCTCTTTGTGACTTTTGACACTGCAATTAGCAGGGCGCAGCCCATCTGATGAACACCAAATCCCTCGAAATGCTAAGTCCATCCTCACTAGAGAATCCCTGCAGTATGACTGCCGAGAACTCCCGGCAATCTTCCTGTCTTCACACCTGAATGACTGAGGGTCAGGTGAGCCAGCGGAAGGGCTCCGAGCTCCAGTTACCGCAGGGTTTAACCAGACTGTGCGGCCCTTTCACTATCTTCTTTATCTAACAGGCAGCGATGCTCCCTCCCTCCCACCCAACCAACCCCCCCCCCTACAGCCCCCCCCCCCCAAGAAAAATGTAGAAGCGCTAAAACCACATAAAATCCAATTATTTCCCCCTTTTTCCTGTGAACCAACTTTCATGACAAAAGCCTGCGTGTTCCCTCTGGTCTTGTGGAAAGGAAGGGGGGGGGGGGGGGGGTGTGTCAACAAAAGGCTTGTTTGATCTCTCCAAAGGCTGCTGGTAATTGGAGTGTGAGGGCTCACAGACTGGGTTTGTGGATCGCTGACGGCGAGTTAATCATTAACCGTAAGGGAACGGGCCATGCGTGTAACTCATCAATGCGCCTGTCTGGCTCAGATCACGTGACGCCGCGTGTGTAGCCCCCCGAAGGCCAGGCACCTGTTGTAACGCCTTAGTCCTGTGAGGGTAGCAGTTCGCGGAGTCCAGCCCCACGGCAGGGCAGCCATGGCCCTCGCTGGGCAGCAGCTCAGCGCCTCGCAGTACTGGAGGAGGCTGCCACCCAGGTTCCACCCTCAGCCAGATCTCCACCTCTCCCTCACACCCAGGGAAGATTCCCGGTGTCCTGGGGACTGACTCAGACACTGGACTTCCTGGTTCTTTCATCACAAGCAACAACGCACTTGTGAGCCAGAGCTGATTGCAATAGCAGTTTCACCCTGGACTTCACCAAGAGGCAACTCTCAACAGGGCAGATTCAAATTTCACCATGAAAGAAATCCCGCCTAAGAGTTAGGGACGCGACTCCATCACACTCGAGAGCATTGCTTTGTTCTTTTAAAAACACTTCAGTACTAAAATTTAAAAAAAAAAAAAATTCTTGAGCTGTTTCTAGAAAGGGGCTGTAATTCTACTCCCGAGGGGCCCCCAGTGGTCTACAGAGGAGGCCACGATGGGCGCGGGTAGCCTAGAAAGCGCCACCGGTCCCCTCTCTCACATTCTGCAGACTGGAGGACACTCGTGGGTCTTTTTGTAAAACGAAATCAGGTGACATGCAACCTCGGAGACGGTCCTCCGCAGGCAAGACTCCCCAACGACCCAAGCGAACCCAAGAGAGTGCCCCGCGGCTCACGGTCACGCTGTGCGGCCGGATGACCCGCTCCGGGGATGAGTCCCGTGCGTGCGCAGACTCCTGCCAGGCCAAATCGAGTCCGCGCATCCCCATCACCGCAGCCCTGTGCGCAGCCCTGTGCGCGGCCCGACTGGCGCGCCGCCGCCGCCGCCGCCGCCCCGAGGCTGCGTCCGCCGCAGAGGCGGTGCGCAGTCAACCCCGGGCTCGGCGCGCCGTTCCCCGGCTCGCGCCCCGCAGCGCGCTCCCCGCGCAGCCGCGCACCGGGACTCTCGGCTCGCTCCCTCCGCGCAGCTCCGTCCCGAGCCCGCCCCGGCGCGTCCCCTTCCTCTGGCCGCCCGCGCCCCGCTCGCTCCTCACCAGCTGCTCCCGCAGCGCCACCAGCGCCGCCTCCAGCCGCAGCTCCTGGCTGCGGGGCCCGGGCTCGGAGTGCAGGCCCAGGGCGCCCCGCACGCGCGCCTGCTGCGTGGCGCGCAGCCCCTGGAGCTCTTGCAGCCCGGCCAGGGCCGCCCGCAGCCGCGCGCCCACCCTGCGGCGGTCCCAGCCCGCGGGTCCCGGGCCGCTTGGTGCCCACATCCTCAGGACGCTCTACCGCCGCGCCGCGCGTCCCCGCCGCGTCTCCCCGCCCCCGGCCGCAGGTCGCCTAGGTGGGGTGGGACCTATCACCGGCCGCGGAGGGCGGCGTTTGCGACGCTAGAGGTCACAGCGGCCGCCCCCCTGCCCGCCCCGTTGGCCCGCCGCGCCCTCGCCGAACGCCCCGCGCCCTGGACCCGAGTGCTCCCCAGGGAAGGCCAGACCCCTTACGCAGAAGGACAGAGGAGAGCTCAGGCCTACGGTGGGAGAAAGATTTAGATTTAGGTTTCTTAATTAAAACAAAAACAAAATCCACTGCGAGAACCACCACGTTCTTCTTTGTAAGCCTGTTAATTCGGAAAGCCCACCACCTGTTTTTCCAGCGTCCTCATGTACCTGGAAACCTCTGCTTGGGTCTCAGTTTGCCCTTGCACACAGGCCACACGCCTGTAAGCAAGCTTCTAGGAAGGTCCTGAGTTGTGCCCCTCTCACCGTGCTGGGCCCGTCAGCAACTCTGCGTCCCGGAAGCAAGCCCCACACTGTCGGACGCCCCCACCTTCCCTACACACTCCACGCTCGGAGCCCTCCACCTGCTCCTGTGGGTACTGTGTTGAGTGGAATCCTGCTATCCGGGTCTTTTGCTGTTCTTAAGACTTCCGGGTGCTCTCATTTTGCACCACAGGAACCTCCTTTTTCCTGACCGAATCATACTCCTTTGTGTGGCTAAGACCCCCTCCTCCAACCGTCGCTTCTCTAGTTAGATGTTGCCACCTCCTTTTGGCCCAGGGGCCGGATGGAAACACCCGCCTCCCACCGGAGTGTCCACCTGAGGCAGGAACTGTTGAATCGCGGCCGCCTGCTTTCCCGGGTGCTCACCTTTGCCTCTGAAGCAGGAGGGAGGAGATGCCAACTGCACCCGCTGCCCGCAGGTGTGTCACCCAGAGCGCTCAGGGCTGGGGGGTGCAGCTGGCAGCGGTTCCTGAGGCGGAGGGGATTAGGTATCTTTCCCCTGCAGAAATGGGCCTGTAGGCGCTCTGCTTGCCTTGAATTGGTGACCTCTTGAGTGACTATGACCAGAGTCTCCTTCAGACACTTTCCTCGCCAGGCACCATTTGCAATTTCCTTCTTAGACACAGGATTTCCAGATTTTTTTTTTTTTTTCAGCCTATAGGTTTCTATTTTACTTCCCTGTTTTTGTTTAGTTCTGAGACAGGGTCTCACTCCGAAGCTCTTTCTAACTTACTATGTAGACCAGGCTGGTCTCCAAGGACTCCTGCCTCCCGTGTGTACCCGGATACCCGGGCCACGAGGCAGCGGGCCCCGGCTTCGTTCAAATCATACTCTTTCATTTTCCATAACTGCGCCTGTTTATCTCTTGTTACAGCGCGTCTTGTGTCACCACCGAGAAATGGCTTCCTGATTCGAAGCTGCAGACCCCTAAGCTCCTGTAGTTTTGGCTCATACCCTGAAGTCAGCCCTTCATCTGCTTGGGCTGAGTCCTGTCCTTGACCTGCCTGGGTCCCTTCCCTCTTCTGCAGCTGTGTATCCAGTGTGTGCTGGAAACAGTTTCCTCCCCATGGAGCTGTGTGGGACCCTGCGGAGAATCGCTGATACAGAGAATGAGTTTCTGTTTTCTGTCGTATTTGTCCTTGTTCCAGACTGTGGTAATGACTTCCTTTTTTTCCAGTGGGTTCTGAAGTTTGGGTTCTGAGCTGGCCAACCAGAAAGGGGCTGTAATTCTTTTTTTTCTTCTGGCCACTGTTGCCAGCCCTGGGCCCTCCATATTTCCACAGGAATTTATGGATCACTTTGCCGGTTTTTTCCAAGAAGACAACACGGGTTTTGTTGGGGGGGAGGGAGGGGGATTTCCAGAATCTGCCAGTCAACTGGAAGTACTAAGGTTGAGTGTGCCCGGGGCACAGACGTGGGCCCCTTTCCACATGGTCGGGTCTGCTTTCGTTTTATTCGGCCGTGCCTCACAGTTTATCCTAAGTCTTGTGCCTGTGTTAAAGCTGCTTTTGAGTGTTTTCACTTCTATAGCATTGTGAGTTGTTTACCAGTTTCATCTTTAGGTGTTCAATGCTGGTGCATAGAATTAAACCGTTTATTCTTGGATGCCAATGCCTGTAACTGAGCCCCGTCCCCATAGCATACGAAGAAAACTTTCCCTTCCGATCAGATGGGCAGACACAGGAAGGAGCAATGATGCCCATGGCTGGAGACACCCGCACTGTGATGGCTGGAGCTGAAGAATTGGGCCACATTGCACTCAGCTTGGCTGAGGAAGTGCATCTGGGATCCTTAGGCCGACTCCGTGTTCTGCAGGATGGCTTCTCACCTCGAACCTCTGTACACAGGATGAAGCTTAGTTAAACGTTACTAAATATTAACTGCTACGCTCCAGTAGGCATGCCATGCACTGAGCGGTCGCTCTGCCTCTGATGACTTAGGCAGCCCCCCCCCATCCCCCTTGGACCACACTCTGGAGGCCTCCTTGCTGCATGCTGCCTCCTTGTGGCCGGTTCCTAACACTGCAGCCAGCAATCCTCAACAGCCTAAGGAGGACCTCGACTCTCAGTTCTTAAAACCCTGGCGTGGCTTTCAGCCTCACACAGAAGGACAGCCCACCTTCCAGGGCCTTGCCTTTCTGATCTAGCTCAGCGTACCTCCACTGAGCTCAACACCGTGTCTATTGCCTCTCGCCTTCCCTGAAGCCCTTGGGTCTGCCTTGTTCTCTTCCTAAAGGGGGATTTGGGCGCTGGTCTAACATCCCCCCACCTCACCCCTCACCGTGCCTTTGCTTCTTGCCGCATCTTCCAGAACATGTGCAGGGGTGCTTTTTATTTCCATTATAGCGCACTGTTAGTCCCACACGCCGGGCTGTGAGGAGGTGGGGACTGGAGAGCTGTGTGCCCTTTAAGGAGACACTTTAGATCCTTGGACTCCGAGCCTGGCTCTCAGTAATATTTACTAAATAAACACGTGGTGACTGTTGCTTTTCATTGGCCTGAGCGGATTAAAAACAAAAACAAAAACGTATCGTGGCCTTCCTAAATAATTTATCATATTGCATAATGTCTTGTATAGGTATTTTTATTAGCAAAATAATATGGAAGATACAGTAGATGTGTAAAGATGGCTGAGGCCTTTCCAGTCTCCGTGAGCGGCGTCTGTCTTGTGTATGCCTCCTGGAGCCTCTCACAGTGTCTACTGTCCACCCGTCAGCTTAGCCTCTGCCTTTCCCGCGTTCCTAAAATGCATTTGTAGCCGTCCATGCTCTTAGTAAGCATTTGTGTGCCGTCTAGCTTTCCCTTTGAGTAAAGTATTCGGCGTACGGAGGAGCTTCCATCACTCAGCCGGCAGCCGGCCGCTTCCTTTCTTCTTCCCACAGCAATGCCGTGAAGATCACCTTTACACACGCGGTGAAACGACCGTATTAAATCCGTAATTGTGGTATTGCTGAAGGCAAGCGGAGTTATGCAAGGAGAGTGTGTTGAGATGCCGCGTCAATCAGCACCAACTTCTCTTATCTGTGAAACGATCTCCTGAGACATCCCCGCTGCTGCCGGGATCCACTAGCCACCCCCTGCCCCGAGCCCCAGGAGCGACGCCTCCTTTCCCTCCTGGGTAGGTCTAGTGTGCGCGGCACGTGGTACGGCAGAAGGAGGCGCCCCCTGTGGGATGAGGAGATGACTTCATTAGCGGTAGCTCACAAAACAGGTCATCTCGGCTGGCTTCAAGGGAACAGGCGCTTCACCTGTGGGAGGTGCTCTGTGGGAGCAATTTAAGCTGAACTCCCGTCCAAGGTGGAGGAAAGATGGCGGCTGTGTTGAAGCAGAGGTCAGCACCCACCCGTGCCCATCGCAAGGGCTCAGAGCCCACAGCACCATCTGTCCTTGTAGATCCGTGGGTGGGAGGGAGACGCCGGGTCCTGGCTGGTCACGGGCTTTGCAGCCACTGGTACACCTCACTCATCTGTTGCTCGTGACCAGGCTTTCCAGTGGTTCTTCGTGGCTCCCAGAGGCTACGAGGAGTTATGTATCTTGGTTTTCTAGTACGATCTCCTGCAAAGTGACGTTGCCATCAGTTGCCGCTCTTCTGTTTTCCAGAGGGTAGTATAGGGACTGGACCTCCTTGAGAGCCAGCACGGAGAAGCTGTCCCCAGGGTCAACAAGGTGTGACTACTGAAGTTCTTGGGAACAAATAAGAGTGTTGACAGCGTGACTGAAATTCCCAGTGTGCTTTGCAGCTGCTGTGACCCTCATAGACGCTGCCACACCCCAGACTCTGAGGTTCTGACTTGATTTTAAAAGTCACATTAAGCGTCTATAAAGCTGAGGCTCCGTGGATGAGCCAGGTCTGTGTCTGTTTCTAATTTATTACAGACACAAAGCCTTATCTCGGCTTCTGCCACATTAAAGCCCTGTCAAAGAGCCAGATTGTTTATTACACACACGGAGACTCACCTGCACTGCTTTTCTTTCTGTGTGCTCAGCAGCCAATAGTACGATTCAGTGGACTATCAGTCCTGTCTTCTGGCTGAACACGCTGAAGGGAGAGGCTTGACTAGGAAGACCTTGGGAAGATGATGGCCTCTCTGGGCTCAGGGCTGGGGTTACCTTTCCGTTGGAGCAGGAGAGCACCAACATCGGGAGATGCGCCATGTGAACACGGCTGTGGTGTGTGTCCGGGTACATGTA